TAGTTACTTTCAAAGCAGTCACCAAGAAAGCAGTGGTAGACTTTGTTCATTCCAACATCATGTGTCGCTTTGGTATCCCAAAGACTATTATCACTGACAATGCAACCAGTCTAAATAGTCATCTGATGAATGAGGTATGCGTGCAATTTAAAATTGTGCACCGCCATTCTACCCCTTACCGGCCAAAAGCCAATGGAGCCATTGAAGCGGCTAACAAGAACATCAAGAAGATTTTTAGGAAGACGATCCAAGGGTCTAGGCAATGGCATGAAAATTTTCCTTTTGCTCTTTTGGGATACCGCACGACTGCTCGCACATCAGTGGGTGCAACTCCTTATTTGCTGGTATATAGAACTGAAGCTGTAATACCTGATGAAGTCGAAAATTACTCTCTCCGAATCATTGTGGAATCGGAGATTGAAGACACTGAGTGGGTCAAGACCCGATTAGAACAGCTAATGCTAATTGATGAAAAACGACTAGCAGCAGTGTGTTTTGGCCATCTATACAAGCAAAGAATGGCACGCGCTTATAATAAAAAAGTGTGCCCAAGGCACTTTGAGGTAGGCCAGCTCGTTTTGAAACGCATCATTCCACACCAGGTAGAAGCTAAAGGAAAGTTCGCCTCGAACTGGCAAGGAGCCTACATCATCAAGAAAGTGTTACCAAAAGGGGCCTCGCACTTGGTAGATGAAGAAGGACGAGTGCTAGACATGACTATTAATGCAAATGCAGTCAAAAGATATTATGTTAGATATATACCCATTGCGGAACTTTCACGCATGATTTTATCAGATCGAGATAACGAAGGCTACAATTGCTAACTATCCCAAATAGGTGTCACCCTTTTAAGTCGTATTTGTCTTCTTTGTTTCCCCTCTTTTTAGAACCTTTGTACTTGTAAAAAAATAAAATCTTCTGAGTTAGTGAACTACGTCCGACCTGATTCCGAAAGGATACGTAGGCAGCCTTACCCTGGGTTCGGTCCCATCACAACAAAAAATCCATATTCCCAATACTCCAAAATTGGGGCAGAAGTTTGTTTTATTTTACGTTTTTTCTTCTGTAAAAATGGTTCCAAAAGTGTAATTCAGTTCAAGGTTCTTTTCGCCCTTTCCCTATTAGGAACTTCTGATCGATCTTTGAGAATGTTTGAAGTCCCCGTGCCAAGGGCATTTGGCAACCTTCCGCATGTAGTATCTTAGTCAAAAAAAATGAGAGAGTCTTATCGGTGAAAACCCGTAAAGGCACAGTAAGGCGACAGTGAACAGAGAAATGAGAGAGTCTTATTGGTGAAAACCCAGAGGGGCACCATAAGGCGACGGTGAGTAGAGAAATGAGAGAGGTTAGTTAGAGAAAACCCGCAAAGGGCGCTACTAACCAAATGAGGGTCTTCGATACTCCGGCATGTGCACAACCAAGACAGTTTCAAGATGAACATTTGCGATGGATTTTGAGAATTAGACATCTCAGACGAACCAGGCGTCTAGTCCAAAATGCATTTCATGATTCATTGAAGTCGTTACACACCTACAGATAAGTCTCTCTATTTCTCTCCCCGAAAGGGACACCTTTGGTTTAAACACAATTCCTTTTTTACTTTCAATTGCTCTTATGTTTTTTCCATAATTTTTCTTTGAGTCCCTTTTGGTCTAATCTTGCATCAAAAGCGAAGCAAGGAAATGGTTGCAAAACTGGTTATAGTTTTCCCTTACTACCGAGCATAATTTGGGACACATACGGTATCGACAAAGGCACGAATCCATTTGTGATCTCTTTTGATAAGCCGAACAAAGTGTCTCAAAGAAACCAAAAAGGTCGCATAAGCAAGACTTGCTTCATGGGAAAAGTTGATAAGCACTACAGACACAAACTGGTACTGGGTGCAAGACAACTAAGTTCAATTTTAAAGGAAAATTGCCTTGCTTTAGGGACAAGGATTAGAGGCACCATGGACATCCGGGTATGAAACAATCAGGGGAAACGTCGGAAAACTGAGGTCTCCAGAAAGCGACATAGAGTGTCTGAGCATCTCGGTACCACATTGACAGAATCGGATCTTCGACAACAGTGGCCGTAAATTCAATCCACTCAGGGCAACAAATCCAGAAACCGACCACCATATTGAAAACTCACAAACTTCCTTTGTTTGAAGCAGGAACAAAGCAGTGCAGCATGAAGATTCTCAAAGGACGAATGTCACCAAAGGTAAGTTCCGCAAAATCTCCATTTTCATTTATTCACTACTGTTCATACAGACCATTTTCGTAGCTTAACCCAGGTAGAACCTTTTTTCTCCTAGGGGGATCCAACTCATATTTTCGGGTAGAAGTACTTACTCTTCACCTAGGTTGTTTTACGTAGCTTAACCCAGGTAGAACCTTTTTCGCCTAGGGGGATCCAGCTCATATTTTCGGGTAGAAGTACTCTTCACCCAGGCCTGTTTTATGTAGCTTAACCCAGGTAGAACCTTTTTCGCCTTGGGGGATCCAACTCATATTTTCGGGTAAAAGTAATCTTCACCCAGGCCTGTTTTACTTAGCTTAACCCAGGTAGAACCTTTTCGCCTAGGGGGATCCATCTCATATTTTCGAGTAGAAGTACTCTTCGCCCAGGCTTGCTTTTTGTAGCTTAATCTGGGTAGAACTTTTTTCGCCTAGGGGGATCCAGCTCATATTTCCGGGTAGAAGTACTCTTCACCCAGGCCTATTTTACGTAGCTTAACCCAGGTAGAACCTTTTTCGCCTAGGGGGATCCAGCTCATATTTCCGGGTAGAAGTACTCTTCGCCCAGGCTTGCTTTTCGTAGCTTAACCAAGGTAGAATCTTTTCACCTAGGGGGATCCAGCTCATATTTTCGGGTAGAAGTATTCTTCGCCCAGGCTTGCTTTTCGTAGCTTAACCTAGGTAGAACCTTTTTTCCTAGGGGGATCCAGCTCATATTTTCGGGTAGAAGTATTCTTCGCCCAGGCTTGCTTTTCGTAGCTTAACCTAGGTAGAACCTTTTTTCCTAGGGGGATCCAGCTCATATTTTCGGGTAGAAGTACTCTTCGCCCAGGCTTACTTTCGTAGTTTAACCCAGGTAGAACTTTTTCGCCCAAGGGATTCAGCATTTTATCAGTAATACAGGGTACCAACCCCTAGTTACATTGTCTTTTAAGTAATACAGGGCACCAACCCCTGGTTACATTTTCCTTCTCCGTAATATAGGGTGCCAACCTCTGGATACAATTCCTTCTCCATAATATAGGGTGCCAACCCCTAGTTACTTTCTTTCTCAGTAATACAAGGTATCAAACCCTGGTTACTTTCTTTCTCAGTAATACAGGGCGCAAACCCCTGGTTACATTCCTTCTCAGTAATACAGGCTTCCAACCCCTAGTTACGTTCTTTTTTCAGTAATACAAGGTTCTAACCCCTGATTACGTTCCCTTTTCAGTAATGTAGGGCGCAAACCTCTAGTTACAATTCCTTCTCAGTAATACATGGTTTCAGCCCCCGGTTACATTCCTTTTTCAGTAATATAGGGCGTCAATCCCTAGTTACGTTCCATTTTCAGTAATACAGAGTACGACCCCTGGTTACATTTCCTTTTCAGTAATTCAGGGTGACAACTCTTGGTTACATTTTCTTTTCAGTAATACAGGGCGCCAACCCCCGGTTACATTTCTTTTCAGTAATACAAGGCACTAACCCCTGGTTATATTTTCTTTTAGTAACATAGGGTACGCCACTTCCTAGTTGATTTGAGATTAAATGCAGGATACACCACTCCCTAATATCTTTGTTAATATAGGGTACACCATTCCCTAGTCGGATTTTTCCAATATAAGGTACACCAATCCTTAGTTGAGACATCATTTTGACAAGAAGGGTACACCATTCCAAAACAACCACCATTATCATGTTTTCACAGGGTACACCATTCACGACACTTTAGTGTATTTAATAATGAAGTAGTTTAGAATTTTGTTACAATAACTCACAAAATTTTTCTAGTGAAAACTAGGGCAGAAAAATTTTGTTCGTTTGTTTGTTTTGGTGTTTGAGCAGGTTTTACCTCGAGTCACAGGGTTCAAGATGACCAAAGAAGAATTCTCAATCCAGAATAAAGAAAAGAAAAGGAAAAGAAGTGAATCCAAATGCAGAAGCAGCTGAAAAGGATATGGACCACTCAAGACATGACTAAAGTTACGAGCTTTACATTTTTCGTTTTGATCAGAAGAAGCCGTAGAAGAATGAACTACCACATCCAGCTAGATAGCATCAAGGTTCAGATCAGAGTCTGCGTGAAGAACCAGTCAAGACTCAAGATCAAATTTTAGAAGACTTATAGATAGGAATCTTGTAACTGATAGCTGATAGGCTTGTTTAGTTTCTTTTGATCTTGATGTAATAACAAGACCGCGGACCAGAGCCTCGACAAAACCTCACTCGACTCTCCTACTCATCATTCCACCATTCCATTCTTCCTCCTTGAACTACACATAGCTTAATTCCCTTATAACCAGGGATATGTAGGCTATCCAAAACCAGGACTTGGTTGCACCCTTTTCTTTTATTTATTTTTCCTTTTTAAATAATAATTTGGTCAAAAATTTAGTCACATGGCTTACCTTGTTTTTGCTTGAAAACTCCTCATGTTTCTAAGCAAAGAGGGGCATGTTGTGAGCACCTAATTTTTTACTATGCGTGAATTTCCTTTCTACTCATCTCACCAATACCTCATTTTTTACTTTTTCCACTCACACTTTCACTTTTCCCATGCACTTTCCTCACATAATCCCTCCACCAACACACACGGACACTCACAAAAAAAAAGGAGTTTTATCTCCATCCCAAACACATACAACAAAAAGTCAAAAAATGGAGGAGGAAAGTCAAAAAGGGGAAGAGGAAAGAGGGGGACAATACGAAAAAATGGGAGTAAAAAGAGGAAGAAAGAGAGAATAAAAAGAGCACTACTTCTCATTAAAAAAAACTTAGCAACCCTTTTTTCTTCTTCTTAAAGCAGCGGAAAAAAAAAAGAAAACGGGATAGTTCCTTCTCAAAAAAAAAAAAGATGAGCGGCCTTAGCTTCTCCAAAATCAGCACCTAAAACCCACCCCAAAAATTATAGCAAAATCAGCTGTTAAAACAGCCAAAAATAGTAGAGAAAATCAGCTGAAAAACCAGCTACAAAACGACCACCAAACTTCCTAAAAACAATCGCGAAATCCACAAAATAGCAGCTGAAACTTACCCCAAACACCACCAATAGGAGGTTGTTGTTGAGGTCGTCATCGAGGTTTCCGGTCAGAGGTATTTGTTCGTAGTTTTCTGCCTTCAAGATTGGTTGGTGAGTTCTCTCTGTAATTCAATGCTTGAAATTTTTTATTAATACAATGAAGAAAGTTTTACTCCACCAAAGGTTCGCTACATCCTTCATTTTCTGTCTAAATAAATATTTTAAGCTCTTGTTTAGTTCTTCTATGCGAATGATATGTGTTTCCATGCCACGAGTTATTATATTATTTATGTAATTTTTCATACTTTAGTTTTTTTTTTTTTCTGATTCAAGGCAATTGATTGATAAATTACTTAGATAACATTTTTTATAAATTGTAGTAAGATTTAATCTTCTTAGAAAGACTGAATAATGAAGATTTTATAGCCGGCAAGTGGGTTGTTAGACAAGATCATTGGGCCGTTGGGATTGTTGGATATGTTGTTAAAGGGTTGGTATTGAGCTAACATTTGTCATGATAATAATTAGAGTGTATGAGCGGTTAGGACTAATTGGACCCAGTAGATTTCTTTAAAAAGGTGCATTTGAGCTTTAATTTCCTTTGAAATATTCACTGGTCCATTAGCTTAATAACTAGAGTACATAACGTCTTCCACAATAATTATTTATCCATAATCAATGACCTTGCAATAATCTCAAAATTAGTTTAGAAAAAAAATTCTTAATAATCGCTAGTATGCTTTAGGCGCATATTAATAAATAAATTATCATGATTATGTACACATTCGTGTAACATAGTTATAATTTTCAAAATTAAAATTGAAGTACGCGTTCGCGCAACTTTGGGCAAAATAATCTTAGTATAATAAAATGTTATTAATTGTGTACACATACGCGTGATATGATTTTGGCACAATAAACAAAACGGATTCACACACGTGATTCGTTTCAAGGATAATCCCATATTTTAATGATTAAAAGCAGATAGATAAAATATAAAAATTAATCAATCACAGTTTATCCAAAATTAATTCAAGCCAAGTTGTAGTCAATAAAGCGACCGTGCTAGAACCATGGGACTCGGGGAATGCCTTACACCTTCTCCCCAGTCAACAAAATTTCTTACCCGGATTTTATTTTCGCAGACCAATAATAAATAGAGTCATCTTTCCTTTGACTAGGGATTCAAATAAAAGGTGACTTGAAACACCCAAAAATCAATTCCAAGTGGCGACTCTGTAAATAAAATAATCCTTACTCAAATTCTTCACTTTAAGTTGGAAAAACTCTTTAACCCATATAATAATATATATCTTTTTGGGGGTAAAAAGGGGTGTGACAAAAGGATTAAAATATGGAATAAGAATATGTGTTTTTGCAACATGTGGAGTAAGTAAAATCCAAAAATGTTCTAAAATACATACTCATCATTCACCGCATAAATATTCTTTGCATTATAATTGTTTATTACTAATGTGTAGTTTAAATTTGGTCTAAATCATTCATAAAACAAGATTTAAGTATCCAACCAAAAGACTAATTCATGAATATTACGATGGGAATATCATTCTAATAGCCACTCGTAGCAGAGACTGACCTATGTTCAAAGTAGAGGGGTCATTAGACTCTATTAACTTCGGCTAAAATTTTAGATATATATGTGTATCTATGTTGAAAATGATTATATATTTTATGCGGAATCCTTAAGCTCAAAAGTTAAATAAGACACTGGTTGAGTAGTTCTCTCATGTGCGCCGCCACCTTCAGATCTTGGGTCCGCCTCACTCGGGAAAATACCATGAACATATACATTAAGAATCTATACAAATAAGATGAAATTCGATCAAACAGAATGAAAGAACCGGAAATTGTTGCATAGTTTATTCTTTTCAAATTGAAAATCTTTATTTTGGGAAGTTGAGAAAAGCTAAGCAGTAGAATATAATCTTTGTTTGTGTGTTCTTCACAAGTTTGAAAGATCATCTATCGTCCATTTTTGAAGTGCATGTTTCTTTTACAAATGCTTTCTCCCATAGAATCTAATACCAATGAGTGACCACTGAATAATTACTGATAAAGAAATGATTCTCTTCTCCTAGACCCCTATATATATATTTGCAATACTGAAAATTTTTAACAAGTTGAGCTCTTTCTATTCATAAGTTGTAAATTCTTATTATTGGGAATTTTTTCCCTTTTTAATTCCATCCAAGAATTGAGTAGGATTAATGGCATCCAGGAGAATTCACAAGGAACTAAGGGAGTTGCAAAGAGACCCTCCTACTTCATGCAGTGCAGGTAAAGACTTATTGTTTCCTCTTATTTACCAGCTAGCGGATCGGAAAGATTTGTATGAAATATTCTACTACTGCCTAAGCTTTCCGATCAACCAATCCCGTATTTCAGGGACATATGTGTTAGGAAGGCCCTCCCCCATGCCCCAAGGTCAAAAATGATCTCGTTAAGCAGCAGGTGCAAGTAACACATCTGGTCTAACTAGGTGTTAAACCATATTATAAGTGAATGTGTCAAAAGGGGACGAGAGACGTAAAATTAAATGTAAGAAAATTATCTTCAAAGACCTATAATTTCTTGATATTCATGTAAACCTAACGAAAAGTATGGCAGTGGAAGAAAAAAATCTATATATAAATGATACCAATTAATCGGGTTTAAATCTTAATCACGTTAATACGTTTATTTTAGATCCACATTTGTTATGAGTCTTTTAATCTTGTCAAAAACACCAATTCTAAATACTAAAAAAATCTTGAAATTAGTTACAACTTCGTCATTAATTTGTCACTAAATTGCTCGTAGCTAATATAATTTTTTGATAATCTTTTGCTAATCTATCGCTAAATAAAATTAGTGACAAATTATTTTATCTAACTGCAGAATTTGTCCATCGCTAATTATTTTTTTTAGTAGTAATAGTTGTTTATTTTCAGGTCCTGTGGCACAGGATATGTTCCATTGGCAAGCAACCATTATTGGTCCAAATGACAGCCCTTATGCAGGTGGTGTTTTCCAAGTGGCCATCCATTTTCCTTCTGATTACCCTTTCAAACCTCCCAAGGTATTTTTTTTTAAAAGTTATTTAAACTGATACTATCAGTGAATTTTAATATGTATTATTATTTGTTAATTATTATAAATAATATTCATATTGGCAGGTGGCTTTCAAGACCAAAGTTTTCCATCCAAATATAAATAATAATGGAAATATTTGCTTGGACATTCTCAAGGATCAATGGAGTCCTGCCCTCACTATATCCAAGGTTCTTATTACTATTTTTATGCCTCTTACTTTCCTCTCCCTATTTAGTATTTACTACTAATAATCTACTGATTCACGAATTTTCTGACATGGTGCAAAATTAATTATTTCTTCGACAACCTAAAAGACAAAAAGTTTTTTTTTCCAATATACTAGTAACTAGTTTTTTTTTACAAGTTTAGCATGTCCGGGGACTTTGACACAACAACAATAACATATCCAATGTGGTCCCGTAAGTAGGGTCTGAGGGTGGCGCAGGGGCGGCTTAACCCTAAAGCCACTAAAGCATTGGCTTTAGGCCCCCAAAAAATTAAAGCCTCAAATTTACTCAAATTATATATATAATATAAATAACTATATATTTATTATTAATGATAAATGGAGTTTTTAAATCATTTGTTGTCAATCTTAACCAANTATATATAATTTTATTAAATAATTTTAAGGTCTCTTTTTAAATTTTGGCTTTAGGCCCCCTGTAGTATTGAGTCGTCTTTGGGATAGTGTATACGCAGATTTTATCCCTACTTTGTAAAGGTTAGAGAGATTGTTCCAGATAGATACTCGGCTCAAGAAACGTATGTTAGAAAATAAAATTGTGAGAACAGAAAATTGAGGTTTTGTTAGTGTAATTATGGAACTTATGCCCTCAATATGAGGGTTCTGAGCGTATGGCAGAACTTCTTCAGAATTTACAAAGCCAGCCAAATTTAATTGTAGCAAAAACTAACAATTTTACACGAACACAAAGTAATTATTTCGAAGATAAGGAAAATAATGATTATATATATTATTTTGGAGGTATAAATAAGTATTTATAATGTTTTAGATGTCTGTCAACACATGTTTGTCAAAAACAGACTTGACAATTTATATATGACAATCATTAGATTTAGGGTTGTTCATGGTTTGACAAAAAACCAATCCAAATCGAAAATCGAACTAAATCGATTAAGTAAACCGATAATTTTTTTGATTTGGATTGGTTTTGGTTTTAAATTTTAAAAACCGATAATATTTGGTTTGGTTTTAGTTCTATTATAAAAAACCGAAAAATAAACCGAACCAAACCGATAAATTATATATAAAATTTAATAACTATTTATATAAAGTATCATATCTTTTTGTAAATAATTTTAAATATTTTCTGCATTTTAATTATTATATATAGATTTTGGTTTATACTACTTATATCTTAAAATATTGCCCAAGCCCAAAGTAATAGGAATAGGCCAATTTCTTTTCCTTAAGAGACTCAAATTCTCTAATATCTACTTTTGCCTAACAGAAGAGTTACAAAAAAATCTATCACAAAAGTCAAAAAAAGCTACTAAAATTGAATATGATATTGTGGATTCTATCGTTCTTTTTTTAGTTTAAATACATAATTTTTACTTTTAAATGGACAAAGTTGTTTGTACTTTGGAACCTTTATTTTGGCTTGTTCTTTTGCTTCTATCATGAACTGCAACTTAGTTCACCCGGTACAGTTTTCTATCTTATATTATTGCTACAATTTTAATACTCTGCTTTATATTATATGTTACAGTTTTAAATGTAAATAGTTAAAAGAACTATCAATGTATGTATTTGAATTTATGCTCTAGTAGTATTTAATATTGTTGTATAGTGTCGTTTTACTATTATCGACTTATCATTAGCTTATTAAGAACCGAAAACCCGAACCAAACCAACAACAACCAAACCGATGGTTTGTATTTAATTTGGTTTGGTTTTGGTTTTAAAATTTTAAAAATCGATTAAATTGGTTTAGTTTTGGTTTTAATAAAAAAACTGACCAAATCGAACCGTGAAAATCTCCCTAATTAGATTAAAATTCAATACTATTTAAACTAATAAAAATGTTTAAATGAAAAGATTATAAAAATAAAATATTTCGTTTTGGGATACTCTTTAGGCCCAAGGCCAAAATTTCCCTCCTATAATCTTACGAGGTCTTTACATAAATAGCCAGTCAGATTCACTGTTTGCTTTTCCTAATTAGTATAGTCAATATACATAGATTATACACTGACTATACAAGGTTATACACATAATATTACGTGAATTATACATATATTATACATATTTAGTTTAAGCAGTTAGATAGCCTCTTATTTAGGTTAATTCTTCTAATTTTATTTCTAGTGTACTAAAAACACAGGTTCTCTAAAAACACTCTTTTCTTTTTGTATTTTATACGTATGAATACGTAACAACTTGCCTTCTTTTTTCTTCTCAAACACTAACTCCTTTTTCACATATACGAGTATTAGACTTGCATATCGTAATAAGTATGAATTTTGTGTACAAATAGCCACGTGCAGGTTTTCTAGTCGATATACATAGAGTATACATTGATGAATTAACCTCTTTCTACGTGCAGGTTTTACTTTCCATATGTTCACTATTAACAGATCCAAATCCAGATGATCCACTGGTTCCAGAAATTGCTCATATGTACAAATCTGATAGGAAGAAGTATGAATCAATGGCTCGTAATTGGACCCAAAAGTTTGCTATGAATTGAGTTGTTTTATCTCAAGAAAAGCTCGTGTGCTATATTTTGTAACAAAAGATTAATGATTTCCTCCTCCGCAGGCATGTAATAAATGCACAAAACTATAATACTTGTGAAACGAGAATTTGTCACACTTGATATATTTAACTATGGAAAATTGGTTTTAATATATGGGCTTTTTTTTTATCTTTCTTACTAAACAATAGGAGATGTTATGGATGGAATTTCTTTGATTAGGTAACTCCTTTTTTGGCATACTTCTTTGACTTGAATAAAAATTGTTTGGAATGATTTGAGATAAATCTCCAATAAAATTGATTTTAAGGAAGTATTTTTAGATTTCAAGAAGCTAAATGGCCAAAAGACTATTAATTAAAAGCTCAATATGGTAAACCTACTTGAATAATCATTTTTTTGTGGACATGACAACTAAATGGGAACAAAGAAACTACTGGTATAGTACTATGTCCTATTTTCAGTAAATTCATACTACTAATTTAACAAGTCATCTTGGATTGTAATTATACACGAACCTCATATATGCATTTTGATTTAAATATTTTAGTTAATATATTCACCATGCGAAAAAGATTTTCAAAAAGATTGAACGACTAATATTGATTTGATTANCACACACACACACACACACACAAGAATGTGTTATGGATTGTTGTGGGTTAAAAGAGTTTTTCCATTTGAAGTGATATTTTTAAATTAGGGATTATTTTATTATTCAGAGTCGCCATTTGGAATTTGATTTTTAGTTGTTCCAAGTCACCTTTTATTTGAATCCTTATTCAAAGGAAGATTTGACTCTTTTATTATTGGTCTGCGAAAATAAAGTCCGGGATAAGAATTCAGTTGACCGGGGAGAAGGTGTAAGGCATTCCCCGAGTCCCGTGGTTCTAGCACGGTCGCTTTATTGACTACAACTTAGCTTGAATTAATTTTGGATAAACTGTGATTTATTGGTTTCCATGTTTTATCTATCCATTTTTAAAATATGAAATTTTCTTTGAAACAAATCACGTGTGTGAATTCGTTTTGTTTATTGTGCCAAAATCGTGTCACGCGTATGTGTACACAATTAATAGCATTTTTATTATATTAAGATTGTTTTGGCCAAAGTTGCGTGAACACATACTTCGATTTTAATTTTGGAAATCACAATCATGCCACGCGAACGTATACATAATCGCGATAAACTAATTAAAAGTGTGCCTAAAGCACTCTAATAATGTTCATTATTCTTCCTAAACTTTGAAATTATTGTGAGGCATAAGTTATGAAAAAGTAGGCTCTATCCGGGTTAGATTATAAATAATGGTCCATTAATCTTAAAATCCATATCTAAAATCAATCCCCAGCCAAATTTGTCATAAAACAAAAGTCCAAACCTTCTATTTTTATCAAAATAAAACACATAACCCACCTATTTTCTAGCCATGTGCAGCATGTTATTGATCAAACCAAAGAAGAATTAAAGCACCAAATGTCGACTAAAGGAAGAAACCATTTAATGTGATGATGTGGGGTTGTGGGGTTGATGATTTTTATGTGATGTTGTGATATTCTTATATTTATTTTTATACCTTGTATAATTTTTTTTGTTGTTGGTAAATTGATGACAATCTGATTTATGATGAAATTGAGAGACTGTGGCTATTGCCAGGCGGATTATAAAATAAAATATGGGTACGAGGTGTTGTGAGTAAATAATGAGGATATTGGCACGTGAATTGTCCGTGCAGTTGTGATATGAATTATGAGCACGAGGTGTTGTGATTAAATGATAATGATATTTGGCACGTGAATTGTCCATGCAGTTGTGTTATGAAATAAGGGCACGAGGTGCCGGGAAAATATGATGATTTTATTATGGGCACGAGGTATCGTGAAAATATGAAAAATGGATTGAGACCCGTGTTTACGAAAAATATAGAAATGGGGTGAGACCCGTATTTTTATGATTATGAAACGAGGTGTCACATGGTGACTTTTTAATTGAAAGAATTATATTCAAAATATTTATTTGAAAGGATTTTTACGTAGAAGGTATTATATGAAAGAATTATATTTGAAAGGTAATTGTTTGAGAAAATTACATTTGAAAGAGAGTTATTTGAAAGAATTATGTGTGAAAGATATTTATTTGACGGATTTGATTTATTGTGTGTAATTGTATTTATTAATTGTTGAGCGATATTAATGGTATTTTTATTGTCTATTGTGTATATTACTGGTTGTTTTATGTTACCCTTATTGTTATCTGCTTCCTATTATTTTGTACATTATATTGCACAGGCTATTACACTAGTGAGTGTCTTGACTGTACCTCGTCTCTACTCTACTGAGGTTAGTTTTGATACTTACTGGGTACCGACCGTGGCATATTCATACTATACTTCTGCATATTTTTGTGTAAAGTCAGGTATTGGAGTTATTGAACTTGAGAAGAGTTAAAGCAGGATCGTAAGGGTTCAAGGTAGAGCTGCTTGGTCGTCGCAGTCCCTTGGAGTCTTTTCATTTCATTGTACTGTTACGTTTTAATCCAACAGTATTGTATATTCGGTCCTCGTGATCATTTCATGTATTCAGTTAGAGTTCGTGACTCAGTACTACCAGTCTTGGGAGGTTGTACATTCATATTTGTTCCGCTGTTAGTTTTGGTTACTTATTTAATTAAAAAATAATGGCTCCAAAAATATAATTTAAATCGAATTACCTAGTCTTAGAGACTAGGTACCATTACGACGCCTGTGGTATGATTTTTGGGCCGTGACACTTGTTGAGACTAACTTAATCCCTTTTAAGATTCACATGTGCATGAGAGAAGAGAATACCAAGACTTATCTACTCCATTAAGAATGAGGCAAGAAAAGCTATCACAGAACTGCTCACACCATCATCACGTAAGAAGTAAACAAAATAAGAGAAAAATCAAACAAAAAATTCAAACATCCATGACACAAGATCTAAAAATTGAAAGAAGAATAGAGTTAATATATGACCTTTAGTAAAACGACTGCTTCAATGGGTTAGAGCATTAGAATAGTCTACAATGAAGAAAATGACGTCCAAAGCTGGAACGTGAACTAAACCTCTGACCGGGAACTTCAATCGGAACTTCGACGACCTCTCACATTAACCTCAACCCGAAAATGTTGTTGTTACGGGTTGTTTTGTGGTATTGTGCGAAGCCGATTTTGGAAGGGGGGCGTTTTTGCTAGATTTTTCATTGCTTTTTGGACTACTTTCGCAACTGATTTTTTTCCCCTTTGGGATGGATTTTTAGGTGTTTTATCGGGTCTTTTGGGGTTGTTTTGTTGTGTTTTTGAGCTGGAGTTTTCAACTGGTTCCCATGATAAAAATGTGAGTGAGTAGAAGATGGGTTGTGAGTGGGGGGACAAGCATGGAAGACAAGGAGTGGGGGACAAGGGAAAGTGGAGTGGGGAGCAAAGGAAAGTGGAGTGGGGACACGCATGGGAAGATGGGAGCGGGAAAGATGGAGTGAGAATTGAGATATTGGTGAGATGAGTGGGAAAAAATTTAAGCATGGTCAAAATTTAGTGCACACAGCATGCCCCTCTTTGCTTGGAAACATGAAGAGTTTTTAGACAAAGAAAAGATGAGCGATATAACTAATTTTTTGCCATACCATTATTCAAAAGGGAAGAGACAAGAGAAAAGAGTGAGACCGAGTCTTGGTTTGGACAGTCTACATATCCCGGGTATAAGGGAATCAAGTCGCGTGTAGTTCAAGAAGAGTGATGGAATGATGAGTTGGGGAGTCGAGTAAGGTTCCCTCGAGGCTCCGGTCTGTAGTTCTGTTATTACATCAAAATCAAAAAAAAACTAAACAAACCTATCAGATATGAGTTACAAGATTCCTATCTATAAGTCTTCTGAATCTTGATCTTGAATCTTGAATGGAGAATCATGCACACTTTTGATTTGAACCTTGATGTTCGCTAGCTGCAGGCGCTAGTTCATTCTTCTACGGCTTCTTCTAATCAAAACGGGAAATGCAAAACTCGTAACTTCAGTCAAGTCTTGAGTAGTCTATATCCATTCCATCTTCTTATGCATTTGGATTCACTTTTTTTCCTTTTCTTTTCTTTATTCTAGATTGAGAATTCTTCTTTTGGTCATCTCGAACCATGTGCCTCGAGGTAAAACCTGCTCAGACATCAAAACAAACAAACAAACGAAATTGTTCTGCCCTAGTTTTTACTAAAATAATTTCGTGAGTTATTTGTAACAAAACTATATACTACTTCATTATTAAAAATAATAAAAAAACAGGAATGGTGTACCCTGAAAAGATCATGACGATTTATTATGGTGTTCCTTTATTGTCAAAAAGATGTCTCAACTAAAGATTGGTGTACCTTATGTGGGGAAAATATGGCCAGGGAATGGTATACCCTATATTGGCAATGATATCAGGGAGTGGTGTACCCTGCATTTAAGATCAAATCAACTAGGGAGTGATGTACCCTATGTTGGAAAATACAGCTAGGGATTGGTGTACCCTATACTGGTAAGGAAATCAGGGAGTGGTGTACCCTCTATTTAAGCTTACATCAACTAGGGAGTGGAGACCCTATGTTGGAAATATAGCTACGGAGTGGTGTACACTATATTGGTAAGGAGACTAGGGAGTGGTGACCCTATGTCGGAAAATACAACTAGGGATTGGTGTACCCTTATATTGGTAAGGAAATATAACTAGAGGTTGGCGTCCTGTATTACTAAAAAGGAAATGTAACCAGGGGTTGGCGCCTTGTATTACTGATATCAAATGTAACCAGGGGTTGGCGCCCTGTATTACTGAAAAGGAAATGTAACTAGGGGTTGGTGCCCTATATTACTGAAAAGGAAATGTAACCAGGGGTTAGTGCCATGTATTACTGAAAAGGAAATGTAACAATGGGTTGGTGCCCTGTATTACTGGAAAAGAAAATATAACCAGGGGTTGGCAGCATGTATTACTGAAAATGAAATGTAACCAGGGGTTGGCGCCATGTATTACTGAAAAGGAAATGTAACAATGGGTTGGTGCCCTGTATTACTGGAAAAGAAAATATAACCAGGGGTTGGCAGCATGTATTACTGAAAATGAAATGTAACCAGGGGTTGGCGCCATGTATTACTGAAAAGGAAATGTAACCAGGGGTTAGTGC